TCAGAACAATCATCATTATCATCATAACAACAACAACAACAACATACTAATAATAATAATAGTAGTAGTAGTAGAGTCACTAGAATGTTTCCATGTAGTGGTATCAATAAGGGTGTTGCAATTTGGTTAACAAAAAGAATTATATGTTTTTGTTATATATATGTTTTCATAAATTTCTTGATTATTTTAAATAATAATTGTTAAATAAAGATTAATGACATATCATCATAAAATATCATGATAATAATATTTTGTTATACTTAATAAAAAACATTAAATGAAAAAGAAAACACATTGATTAATATATTGTAATTAGAAAGGTATTTTCTTATTTAATAATTATGGTTACAATGATTTATAATTATTCTTAAAAAGAGAGAGAGAGAGATAAGTTAAAAAATAAAAATAACGTTTACTTTTATTCATTAAATAATTTAAATTACTTAAAAAATAAAATTTTTAAATTTTTTTAAATTTTCAAGATATTGAATACTTCTACTTTTCATTTAATACTTTATATATTTTTTATTCCTTAACCTTTACTAGAGAAAACGTGAACAAGACTCAATAAAAAAAAACATTAAATGTCTTAAAAACATAAAAAGGTTTTACAGTTAGGGTTGTTTAAAATCAAATTAATCCAATAAAAATTGAAAAAAAAACTGTTTAAAAAATATACATTAAAAAAATAATTTAAAAAATTACAAAATTAGGTATGTTTACTTAGTTCAGGCAGAACCTAAAATTTATAGATCAAAAGATTTTTTTTTTAAAATTATGAAGTAAACAATATAATATATATATATATATATATATATATATATATATATATATATATATATATATATATATATATATATAAAGTACACGATGACATATAGATCCATAAATAAGGCAACAACTTAAACTGAATCTTCCCTGAGAGCAATATACCCTTTTGGAAATTAATCATGACTGAGTGTACCTTTAGGGACCCGAAAGCCCTCAACATCATATATTGTACTTGTCGGGTGCAAAATACAACGGATGGAGAAAAGCACCATTTTAAAGTTTTTGGGTAAAAGAATTATCCAGTTAAAATTAATTGGATAAGTTTTTTCAAAGTAACGCAGTCAAATATGTCACCTATGCTGACGGGACTAGTCCTGTCAACGATACTGACGGGACTCGTGCCACGTCAGCGCCACGTAGGCAGTTCTGTTGCCGTAAAACTTCGGAAGGTCATAACTTGTGACTCGAGTATCCAAATCAGATGATTTTTTTTTGATTTCACATAAATTTTCGAGATCTATGTAATTACACCTCATTTGACATATTTTATCTTCCACAAACATAGTTTGAAGATCTTCTGAATTTAAACGCTCTTGATTATGATACAATTATTACAAATTCAAATTATGTGTGTGGGAGATAAAATATGTCAAATGAAGTGTCATTCCGTAGATCTCGAAAAGTTATATGAATTAAAAAAAAATCATCTAATTTAGATACCCGAGTCATAAATTATAGCCTTTCAAAGTTTGACAGTAACAGGACTGTCTACGTGACGCTGACGTGGCACGAGTCCCGTCAATATCATTGACAGAACTAGTCCCGTCAGGTGACATGTTTTGGACAATTCTTTTGCCCAAAATTTTAAAACGGTGTTTTACCCACAACGGATGCTATTATATACAGTGAGATCGCAATTCCAAATCAACACGTACAGTTCCACAATTAATTAATGTCACAACTCACTTCACTCCAAACAACAAACATTCGTAATGTCTTTATAGTCATTCCTTCCTTATAGAAATCGGGTAATATTCACTATCTATACATACACCGTGCCACAGTGGGCGTTGATTTTACACATATTCATGCGCGCGTGGTGGGACACAAATTACGTTTTAGTATATATAGTGGAAGTGTGAACATAATAAGCAGTCACATGGAGATGTTTCTCTGGGAGTGAATATTGAATGATGTTTTATCATTCCTTCCATTGCAAACAACATATACTAAAAAAAATATCACTCACCGTAAACCCTAATTATTCATCCACTCTTGTGCGCCGTATATGTTATTGTTGTGGCTACACTGAGTTAATTTTTAAAAGCATGCATGCACATGCTTTCTCTCTCTGTCACAACTTAATAAAACATCAATGAAATGGACACGCGAAGCTTAGTCAGAAAATTGCTCTGACTTTGAACCTCTTTTGTTACCTTGGAATCTACAACTTAATCACTGCCTCCATTTTTATTCATCTTTCTCTCCCTCCCACCTTGAACATGGTTAATGAGTGTGTCGTCTGTGAACTTAATTGCTTAAAAGAGAAGAAGACCAAACTTGACTTCACAAGAAGTAAATGCTATATATATATTTTAAGTAATGAAAAACCTCTGCAATTCCCGGTAGCCGTTGGGTTTCTTCTCTTGCATTATATATATATATATATATATTAAACTCATAGGTTGCTATATCATCCTCTAAGCCCATAATACTCTAGTGGACTAGTTCCTATTTGTTCTTCATTCTTTCGAGCTAGCTAGCTTTATTATATTTTCCATTCACTTCCAACTCTACTAGGCCAATTTTGTTCTTGTTGTAGGTATACCACTACCAGCATTTCTTCTGTTGTTCCAAAAAAAAAAAAAAAACAGGCTCTGGTTTTAAGCTTCTCTTTGATCTTTTATGACATTCATGCCTGTTCCAAGCTTATTCTGTTCATCAGTTTTAAAATTACCACATTTTTTTTTATGAGCACTATACTTACTCTTGTTTCTTCACATCTCAAATGGTTTTTGTTTCTTTAGATTTTTTCCGATACGAAATTACATTACCTACACTTTGCATTGGATAAAGAGCTTCTTCTTTAGTTTTTTTTAAGGTTAGTTAGATTGTAGTGCAATTCTCTACTTAATTATTTTTTTCTGTTTATAATTATAGTAACACAAGTGGACGAGTTTTACCTTTCTTTTGCCACCTTTACTATTGCTAGGAAGGTTGACACATATATATCTAATTCAGTCGCTGGTAATTATTTTGTTGGTTTACCGACCCAAGTATGAACATGCTCATTCCTACTCGTCTGTGAATCCTTTTAAATCTTTTTTATTTTATTTTTTGTGGGCGTGGGGGGTACAAAGTTGCTTTATCTATCCTATTTTTTTTGGTGGACTGGTTTATTTATCCTTAATTAGACTGTTTGCTTCCTATAAACTTTGATTAATATGAAATATTAAGTTCTGTTTGATTGTGTTCTGGTTTTTTTCCTTTTAAAATTGTTTTGTATAATAGTTAAGGGTTTATTTTTTCTAAAGATACTTTATAACTTTATCTAATGTTCATCGAAACGATGTCGTTTTGGGGTGAAAATCATGGTATTTTTGTAATTTTAATTTATTTCAGGGTTATAATAGTCTTTATCATTCTAATTTTTTAATTTTTCAACACCAAAACAACGTCGTTTCGATAAACATTAGATAAAGTTGTCTAAAGTAACATTAGATACCTTTTTCCCAATAGTTAATGACATATATGTTTTTTTATGTTTTTTTTTTTTAAAGTTAAAAATCAAAACACCTGTTAAAAAAAATAAAATCAAAACATAAAATAAAAATAACTTAGACATATTTTTTAAATTTGATTCTAAAAACTAAAAAGCAGTTATAATTTTTAGAATTATTTTTACAAAATAAACATTCAGATTTTTTTATATTCTGAAAATCAAAAACTATTTTAGAAAACAGTAATCAAACAGACACTAAGTTTCGAATTATAATATTACCTTACCCGATCAACCCTACACTATATGTGTTTGATTGCATATACAGCTATATCCCATATATATATCTATTGCCATTTGTTTTTAAAACAGTTTGAATCTTCCACAAGCTTTGAAGTTACGTATATGAAAAGGCACTTGGGAATCCCTATCATGTCTATAATCATTTGTTAGGATGATGTGGTGCCACCTGGAATAACTAAGGAGCTAACTTTTGTATTCCCATTCAAACCTAGGCTATGTATAGGTGATCTTTTGCTTGCCTTCTAAAACTTAGAAAGATTTCAACGCATATGCGGGGGATATATATTGCGAGACTTGGCAGCAAAGAATATGTGGTACCGTTAGTTGTCGTGTGTGTGTTTGTGTAGATACTGTTTTCTTTTTTTGTTGCCTCATCATCAAATATTATCTCACAAGCCTTATCAAGATCAGGCCCCGGTGTGGGGAAAAAAAATCGACATTTTAGATTTGTAACTTTTGAGAATGGGTTCTCAATTAACCATTTGTCTTAGCATATAAGCTTGATGCTTGATGGACCATCACGAATCATCATATTTTTAATCTTTGTTTCAAAGGAAAGGGAGCATGACTAATCAAATATAAACAAAATGAAATCACTAATCAAATATCTATCAAGGTCATTCATTTTTCTTATCGTTTTTATTATAATTTTTATTAGTAGAAAGAAAAATAAACATTCATTCTCTATTACTTTTTATTTTTTTGGTTTCCCAGGGGTTTTATTCTCTATTACTTACAAAGACACAAAAGCCATATATATACAAATCGATTAAGAAAACAATAAATTGTTAAACAAACGTTGTAAATTAATAAAAAAGAAGAAGGAAAAAGAACATTTTATTCGATAACTGTTTCATTTAATTGTAACATACAGACATAGATATATATATCATCGACCACCCGGTCAATCCAATAAAAACAGCGGATGTGGCTGTTAATTAGACCTTGGCTTACATAATAGAGCCCTTCATGCTTAGCAAACAATGCAACTTTTAACCTTGGCTTACAAACTATTTGACTGTTTCATTAAGTTTTAATTGAATTCTAGAAGCTAGCTATAAGTGCTGGAGGCAGAAGCTCCTCAATAGTAGTTAAAAGTTATGCCCATTACGTTTATTATGTACAGGAATTCAAACAGTACTTGCATGTGATGTTTTAGCTAAGTAGCCTATAATTAGTATGTACCCAAAATCAATTCAAGCAGCAACTATTTCCATAAATCAATTGGGCAGCTGGAGTTTGATGTTGAGGCATTTTCAATCACCATTTCTTGTTTGTCCAAATTTCTGAACTGTACATTACTATTGTCCGTGCCATGCAAGATGCTGCCTGTGTTTGAGTAGTTATTGTCTTTGGAAGCATCTTGACTAAGTTGTGAAGCAACAAACTTGTCAAGCACACGCCAATCAGTCACTTGATCAACAGCTTGTTCATTGGTATTAATGTTTCCATACATTGCCTGAAAGTTTTGCTGTTGAACTTGTTCTTCTTGTATGAATGTTGAGGGCATCAGAGCAGTTGCATGGTTGACATCTAAATGATCATATGGTGCCATGGGATTAATAGAGGCTATGGTGGAAGCAGATTGAAGCAGTTTTGGGCTCTCTAGAAGTGGAAGCTGCTGGTGAAAGTGCTCTCGAGGCAATTGGTATGGCAAATCTAGCTCTTTCTTGCAAGGATATGGTATTTGGTAGACCAAATTAGATTGAGAGCTTTGCTTTGGTGAGTCCATGTCATGCATGAAAGAGACTTGGTCATCATACCAACAGGAGGATTCATGTTCACTCACTTTACGCATTGTTGTTACTCTCTTCTTGAATACTCTACAGACAACCCATCCTTCTTCCTGCTTCAACCATACAAATTAAAAGGGTCCACAATGAAAGACAAAACAATCGTTAGTTAGTTTAAGGGGATGGATTGAGAAATTCACAAAAGGAAAGTCATACCTCAGTAATTTCCAAAGCTAATAGAAGTTTATCATTTTATTTTTGAATTAATACTTTGCAATGATTTTTAACTTGCTCTTAGAGCCTTTTCACACTTGTGTATATCAAATTGTTAGTGATTTCATCTGAGAGGAGCTTGTGACTTGCTTATTATTACAAAATAAACTCAACGTGGCTCTTTGTTTTTCTGTGGCGATGTAGAAAATTGAAGATAAAGAAAAGGGTTGTGTATATTTTTATTTTATTTTTGGTATTCAAAGGGTTGTGTATATTTTAAAGAAGAGAACAACTACATTACAATAATATAACAAAGGGATCTATTAATCTCATGTTGCATGATATAATTATCTCATGTAACATAGACAAAATAATGGAGTCCACCATTTGAAAAAATAAATAAATAATGTAGATCACACTACTTTGTCTCTGTTGCATGAGATAATTATCTCATGCAACATGACATGAGATAATTATTTCCCTATAACAAAAGCCTTTTCTCATCACTTGGTGGTAGAACTTCATAGAACAATCACATTATTGATTTTCAACAATGTGATTTCAGAAATATAAGAACTTAAGTGAAGTGATACTTTTTGCAAAAATCTTATCTCTCATCTAAGCACTTAAGCTAATTAAACAAAGGTATAAGAACAATAATATAATTTTGAATTAACATAAAATAAATCTTGAGAAGAATAGAGTCAAAAGTTTATGATTTCAGAAACTTGCCTGTGGTGCGCCATTTTCATCTGTTTCAAGGCGATACTCGTGCATTATCCAATCTGATTTTTGTCCATTTGGAGCTCGACCTTTATAAAAGACTAAGGTTTTCCTCATCCCTATGAGGTCATGCTTAGAATATATTGCCTTGTCTCTTCCTGTTGCTTTCCAAAATCCTGCTGTTGTTGCTCTATTCGTGCGAGTTCCTGTTGGATACTTCTTATCTTTATGGCTAAAGAAGTACCATTCATTTTGCTCTTCTGTTCCTATTCTGCAAATCTCTTTAAATTTTAACAACGAAAAGGAAAAAAAAAAAAAAAAAAAAAAAAAAAGTGCACAAGTTAACAATTTATCTTTCACCAATAAAATTGTCCCACTTGAATTAATTTAGATGCTAATTAAGTACTCAGTACTACATACGTACCTTGAAGATCCCACGGCTCAATTTTGTAGAGGTCAACATCTTTTATGACATCAAGGTCAATCCTCCTTGATGTTACTTTCTTCCTAAGGTAGTAATCAACTAGTTCTTCATCCGTGGGATGGAACCTAAAACCGGGGGGAACATGAGAAAAAGTATTCATATTTCTCCCTCTTGCTGAGTCCTGCAAATTAAACATTCATCAAATAAGATACTTCCGTTCTTTGTAATTCACTAATTATTGCTTGGCCAAATTATAATATCAGTTTAATAGAAAACATGATCAAGTTAACTTGGTGTTTTATCATCAGTTTTCAATAAGTACTTAACTATACTAGTGAACTGCATATAATTAAAAAGTTTTATAAGATTAAAAAAATAAACAAGCAATAGGGAGTTATTGCATTGGAAACTCAACCAGTTAATTTGCCAGATATATAAAATCAATTTCATTTTCAACCTTGGTGAAAGGAATAACTGTAACTAGCCATGAGAATTGAAATTTTTTAACTAATACACTGAGAAAGATAATTACTTTTTCTTAACATCTGGATTAATTACTATCCGAGGCTCGCTAGTACCTCTGCCAAAAATACCTGTTTCCCTGATACTTGAGCTATATTCCCAATTGGCAGAGAGAAATAACTGTTTTCTTGCACATTGATAAGGACGATTTAGGCATTATCTCGAAATTTTCACCCTTCGTAAACAATTAAGAAAATATTGTGGTATTGTTCTGTTCCTTTGTCTTTTATTTTTTCTAAATAATGTTCCCCCTGTACTTATTGACAACAACCATGATTAGAGTGAGTTAAAAGTAGTTTTTCACTCATAAGTTCTAAAATTAATAGTAACTTTTTGGGATGAGGTTCCGCTAGAGGAAAATAAGCCCTAGTTTATGCATAATTTTACTACACTGCTGACTTCGAAAGGTATATTCAATCATGAACATCAAGATTTAATTATTACCAACCCCAAATTTAAATATTTATTATGACTCAAATTTCGACACCTAAGGATATATAGTTTTAAAACCTCATTTTCATAAAGGAAAGGTGGGAACATAATAAATTGTATACTTACCCTATATCTCATCAAAATGAGCATATTAAAGATTATCAAATGGTGAAAATATTTGAAAAGAAGAATAAAAATTGCTATTCGATATTGTTTCTCGGTATATATATATAATTTATATGGAGAAAAAGCATGACCATGATGATTATGCATGTGAAATGTTGGCATAGTCAACACACATGTGATAATAGACATGCACAATATATACATGCTAGTACTAGATGAACAAATAAGTGATTGTCACTCATTGTGATTCCCACTAATTTATGACCCATGCTTCTAAAGGATAAAGTTCATGAACCTTCTTATCATGTGTAACAGTATATGCTTAAGCAAAACCGAGATGACAGGCGACAAGATCAGATATATATACGATGTAAAATGAATGAAAAATCCCTTCCTTTGATCACTTTAAGGATTGTTTGCGTTTATTAAGATCTGCAGAGTGAAAAGTTTTCACCTCTATGATCTTATAACAAAATTGAAGAAACAAAAGAAATAAATCAAACAGAAAGTGTAAAGAGAGCTCACAGATCAAGCTAGCAACAGAAGTTTCTCTTGTAGTCCACAGATCTGGGTGTGGTGGTGCAGTCACAAGTCTTCCTCTAAAAATGAGTTGGTGTTTACACTGTGATGAAAGTGGTATTCTCTCAACTTCACTCCAAAATATAAAGAGGAAGCTCCTAAATCAGACAAAAAATTTCAACGACAATACAAGTACTATAAAAAAAAAAAGGTTCAAACAGTAACAAACATAAGTCCTCGGGAATAGAACCCTTCAACTTTTTTTTTTTGGTCTACTTTTTGTGTGGTTTACTTGTCGGATCGGATCCCGAGGAAAAAAAACAAAAAAAGGATCAGTCAGAGAGTGGAAAAGCCTGATGATATTCAACACTGGAACTGGAAGAACAGAAAAACAGAAAGCAAAGCAAGTAGGGTTAAATAAGAAGAAGAATAAAACCCTAAATGATACTTCTCTTTGTTTTCTGGCAAACAATCTATATAATATATATCATGAGGTATATATCACTGTTGGTTGTGCTGAATTGGTGGGAAAGCTTTTTGAGCGGGATAAAAGGTGGCGGAAAAATAGCAGAGGTAGAGGCAAGGAAATGGTTCTCTCTACTGCCACATCTACCCGCTACTGATAGAGACTCAACCAACAACGATTGAAGAAGAGAATGTGCGATTTTTTTCTCTCTAAAGGGTCTCTTTCTATCTATCTGCAAGCTTTGCATATATGAGCTAGAGAAAGATGGGGGGAGAGAGAGAGAGAGAGATAAAGAGGGAAAAGGGTGAAGGCAGAGAGGAACTAACAGCACAGACCAATCACCAATCTTAAAGGGCTGCATAAGGCACTAAAAAGAGTAAAAAAAATTTCAAAGGGGCATTGGTGGTGACGTAGTGGATCAGCCAACCCTTCTTCCTTTTTACAAAAAAGCTATCCCAACACACATATGAGGCATGGTAGTGACCCCTTTTGGCCCCCACTCCATTCTTAGTCCCTACCATATTTCCACCATCTTCTTCAATTCTAAACTGTGATTAAATTGTGATGATGATCTTGGAAGTGACACTGGATGTTTTATGGGACATTTGGTCCCGATATGCCAAAACTTGAAAAGCTCGCTAATGGCTTCTCTAGCTTCTTGTCCCTTTCTTATTGATTCATTCAGAACCTGTGATGGTTGTTCAACTTATAATTAGGCTAATGATACAACTCTTGCAGGCCTTGCACTAGTCTCAAATTAAAATTATAGCGATCTTATTAACCATCCTAGTTAGTACATATATATATTCATACACCTAATTCTAAAGTTGTTCCCCAACAGCAATAGGATGGCTAGCTGTACCTCTAATAATTATCGCAGAGTAAATGTGGAAAAGTTATTGTCTTAAAGTGATAATTATTTCATTTGTCTTAAGCTAGACAAAAGAAAAAGAACAAATAATTATTCGAACCAAACATTTTCTCTGTGTGATATTTGTTATTGGGGTAGGATATTATAACAACCAATTAGTATTACTATCAACATTACTACAAATCAATTTCACCGTTAAATCGATTATGTTGATTCAACAGTTATATTTATTTCCATCTTTATATGGTTATGATTCCCCAAAGCATTAAATATGAGAAATCATAACCATATAAAGGTAAAAATAAATATAAAGTATTAAATATGGAGAATCATAACCATGCAAAGATGAAAATAAATATAAACGTTGGATCAACATAATCGATCTAATGGTGAAATTAATTGATGGTAACATTGGTAGTAATACTAATTAGTAGTTACAATATCCTCCCCTTTTGTTATGTAACATATATTTCTAGCCGAATAGCTTGTATTTGTATCGGCGGAGCAAAGATAGAAATGACGGGCAATAAAAAGCACAGTATTTTCGGCCAATCGTTCGATGAAATGAATCAGGGGTGTAGGTATATATAAACCTGAAGATGGTGAATGCTCTAATAATAATATTAGCAAGGTTTAGAATAGTACATGCCCCTTTCTAATATTGTGCTAGTATATTATATGTATGGCCCTGTCAGCAATTAAGAAGGTGTAAGGTGATATAGAACTAAAATCTTGCAGATCATTTTTTTTTGAGATATTCCAATTGGTTCATTGCGACTAGTTCGATTTGGGACGGGTCCCGGGATTCGGGTTTTAAACTCTGCCAAAGGCGATACAGAGAAGGATCGAATAAATGCTCTCACCCTCACCTTCTCAGTTCTCGATCTGGCGCCAAATCTCACAAATCATGATCCTAAATATAATGGTGGTGACTAGGAGATCGTGGGGTACAGACCCACGACTCGAGTTGGTGGGCTATAGCGGGCTCAATTGCCTAGCCAGCTAATAGTCTAGCCGCCTGGAGCTTTTTTCCTAACTCCCTAGGTTGGGTAGCTCTCCCAAAGTTTACCTCAAGAGCCCTTGGTTTGAGAAATCGCCCCGGAACAATAAGATAGTAAAATTATATTTCTGAAATGTTTACTATCATGATAACTAATATTTCTTGAGATTAAACTCTATAAATCAATAATTTCATATGCATTTTTTTGTATTAGTCTTTTCTTCTTCCTCCTCCTTTCTTCTCAACTGTAGCCCCCCTTTCTTTTCTTCCCCAAATTTAATCAAGCTTTATAAAATCAGGTCTTATCCTATCATATACACTAAAACATGCCCTTAGTGACATTCATTTTCTAAAAACTCACCCGCACATCCAATGCCCTGAATTCCCAGCGCCTACTCACACTGCAAGTCACCACACACACTCACCCTTGATACCAAACCATTACCATAGGTTCTTATCATCTCCATATTAGATACTTCCATCACCACTTTAAACATCAAAATACCAGTTATTATAATAGCCTTAACCTAATTAATTAGCAAATTACATGTAATTAAATAATTAAGCATGTTTTAGTGAGTAAAATTAAGTATAAGGCTTAATTAAATGGATCTGAGTCACTTTGGAGTTAAAAAATGTACTCAGTGAAAATTAAGGGGTATAAATGGGTACTGACAAAAGTGCCCAAAATACAGAAATAAAAATGGAAATATTCCTAGAAAAATATTCCAGACTTTTGGGTAAAGTTTGGTAATTAATGGAGTTGAATAGATAGATGAACCAATACCCACATAAGCCACTTAACTAGTAAGTGACTTAAAAACACAAAAAAGAACCCAAACCCCCCATTTTCCCGTCGACCATCAGAGAAGAAAGGAAGAAGAAGGAGAAGAAGAAGAAAGAGAGAGAGAAGAAGAGAGAGAGGAGGGAGGAAACCTTGACCGTTTTGAGTGATTCAAAAGCCTAAATCGCTTAGAATCTCGCCCTCTTTCATAATCCAAGCTTAGTTCTTAGTGGGGAGCTTTGTGTGGTGAGATATTTCCCCTCAAAAATTCGGCCCTTTGGAGAAATTGAGGTGTTTGAGAGCTTCAACCTCCATTGAAGCTTGAGGAGAGGAGCCATCAATCCTTGGTTGTGCAACCATTGGTGGTAAGATTCTACCCCTTGAACCTTATTTTCATGGAAAATTGCATGAGTTAGGGTTCAATGAATAGTAAATTGGGG